TACTCAGGTTATATTTGCAACGTCCGCATTGTCCTTTTATAAGGCATAGTTGGGCGTGATCAAGAGACGTAGAGAGAATTCTCAATTCTTTGCAACAAACATCAAATTCAAACAAACAATGTTTTTTGAAACAAATTCAAAACTTTTTAATGGTTGTCAATGATATAATTATTGCTCTCTTGTGCAAGATACGTGGGAGGGGGGAGGGATGTGAAGAGAGAAACGTGTGGGAGTGGAAGATATGTTAGAGTAATTTTAGGATACTAATTATTATCATTAATTCCCTTAAAATGTACACAAATAGTAATTGAGTATATAAAACATAATTAATAAAACTTGAATAGAGAGAGTAATATAATTTCATATAGTGTATAGGCCATGTAAAAGTTCCATTAAGCATTAACGAATAACAGGCCAAGCACCTCATTATTTGGGCTTTGACGAAAATGGGCCATCAACCAAAGGCTCACATCAATGATATCGGTGGACCCATAAACACCAAGGGCCTGTGCTTACTTCCAATGGATACAGATCCCTTCTCATGCGGGGGGAAGAAGCCAAATTATAAGACAAGAGGTGGGCCCAAATGGAGCCCATAACGCAAAGGAATCTTTTCTTCTTTTCCTTTATTTGGTAATAAAAAAAAAGTACAGATAATGACGTAGTAAAAACATCATCAATCAACTAAGATGTCTTGTTGATGAGACAACTGAGTGAAACGTAGTAAGGGTGAATCTGGCGGTGGAGAAAAAATCGGACGGCTGAAAATGACTGAAAGTTTAGCAAAATCCCGCGGGAGGCACGGGAGCTTTATTAGTAAGTGGGATGGGACAGAAATGTGACTCTGAGTTAGCAAAATCAAATCAGAGTACAGTGTTCTTTTTTTACTACTAAGTACAGTATTACTTTTGTTTTAACAGGCACATGCAAAAAGTACGGTTAAGATTTGAGAGCTCTTTTGACTTGTTCACAGTTTCACGTTGAATCACTATTCTTTTCTTCCTTCCACTTTGGGTTTTTGCTTTTTGATTATTTCATAATAAGTACACATTAATTAACAAAAGTATGCAACTTCATCATTATCTACTTCATTTGTTATAAACTGAATTTTGAGAGACCGTAAGAGAGATAGAGAACTACACAAGTTATTTTGAACAAGGTGGGGAAAACCCCACACTAAAAGAATTTAAAACCTATTGTAGTACTTTTAAAAAAAAAAATCAAAGCACACAAATAACTTAGCGAAATTTTCAGTTTTTTTTTTTGGTACATGATTTCTATTGTATGTTCTTTTGGATATATCATATCCTTAATGAATTAATAGATAGTTTAACTGCTTTTGTTTGGGGGGAAAAAGATACAAATACAAGAAGATCACAGAGTGAAAACAATCTTGTTTGAGTTTCTCTCTACTAATTGAATTAAAAGTATCATCAAATAAGAAAAGAAAAAGAAGATTCTATACAAGTCCAGGGGGCAAGAGGATTGGCATTGGGGAATGGAGGAAAATCATGACCAAGAAAGTCAGTTATACACAGCTTATGGTTGTTATGTATCGTTTCATAATGTTCGTATTGTAATTGTATTATATTGTACCGTTTTAATATATATAATATTTAGACATATTGTATTATTTATTGTCGTTTCATGATATTATGTACCAATAATATGAAAAATAAACTTGCAATGTTAAAAAAAAGAAGTAAGATACAAAGTAAAATTATTTTATAAAAAAGTTGGAAAAAGGATAAAGTAGGATAATTTAATAACAAGGAAATGCAAAATGAGAGCAAAATAAAGTAATAACGTGATCACACCAAATCAATCGTTACATAAAGTGACACTTTTCGTTATTACGTAATGACGGATTTAGTGATACGATACAATAAAATATAAGTAACAATCAAAACAAATAATATATTTAAAATAACAATACAATATAATCGGTAACAACCATCCAAACAAGACGTAAGATATATCCAACAATTAACCAACATACAATACGATCTTTTAATGTACTGAAGTGGATAATGTTCGGCTTAAAGTATGTATATTTATATGCATGTTGCCTCGCATTTTACTCATAGATTTCAGATGTGTAATGTAATGGTTTGTGCTAATTAGTAGTATTTTTATGCATAGGAATCATCCAGAGGCAATTTGGGACGAGGGTGCGTGAATTGAAGCGAAAAGGGGAAGAAACGAGAAAAGGCCACAAAGTAGCGTCACAGGTAGCGTGGGGCACTACCTGAGGCCCAGTTTCCAGAAGCATAAAATTTCCAGCGCCAGGGCTAGCACCCCACGTTACCCCGGACGCTAGTGATGGAGACTTGTCCTATTTCGCCCAGGACTTGGTTATTTCGGCCTATACACCTCCACCTTATATAAAAACAAGAAAACCTATTTTGGATCAGGAGACGTCACTCTGAGAGAGAAACATAAGCAAGGAACACTCGGGAGCACGAAATTCATCGATTCTTCTATCCTCCATCTAGTATTCATAGCTTTTATTTTCAAATAATATTTTGATTATTGTTATGAACAAGAGTGGCTAAAAACCTACATATTTTGGGGTTATGGATTGTTCTTGACTATTGTAAATTGACGGTGGATTGTTTTGCTTGACTTTATCATATTAATTTATTTATTCAATCTTGCACTTAACTATTCTATTGCGAGTTAACAATAGAGTACTATCTACGAATTTATAGTTGAACTCGAAAGTGGGAACTACAAATTGCATGTAGAATTGAATAGAGTAAGTTCTTGAATCCGGGCATCGCAGAATAGATTCGTGATTAGGATAGGCATATTCTAATTGTCTTACTTGGTTATTTTTGCAGAAAATATACATGTGTTCTTGTCAAGTTTGATTCTATAGACATAAGTTGGCTTGAATATGTGAGCGAAGCGTCAAAAGAACTTCGCGGGCATAATAAACCCTACTAATCAACAAAATTAGATAAATCAAGTGATTACATCAACCCGAAGAACGCAATAGGAGAGACGTTAATCCCATAACCCTGGAACCCATCTCATTAAATTCTTCCTAAGTGTTTGTTTGCTCTACTTGCGATCTTATTTTCTTACTTGCTTATTAGTTCGTAGTTATTTAGTTATAAAAATCAGGCAGAATACATAAAATACCACCCGAACTTGTACTCCAAATCCCCATTACACACTTTTTGATCACGAAAATATTTTTACACACTCAAACCTTTCAGATGTGTGTCTATGACACACTACTTTTATGACGTGACATGCACGTGCTTTTCACACAAAATAGGCGAGTGAATTTTGAATTTTTATATGCCACATGTTCCTTTTTTATTCTTTATTTTTTTAATCATCATCTTCTTTGTCAAGCACAAGCAAAAAACTCTCCGGCAACAATGGAGAAAAGAAAATTTGTTTCTTTTTTCTCCAAAATCCCACCAGAAAATATTTCATCCTCTCTCTTTTATCCTATATTTTCTCCTATATTTCCTTCCATTCTTTCTTCTCAAAAATCCCTCTTAAAAAATCTAAAAATCGGAGATCTCGGCCCCAAAATTTATCAGACCTTCACCATCTTTTTATTGTTTATTCTAACTGCTTGAGGCGATGGGTTGGTTCCTTTAACTTAATTCTAGTATTAATATGATGTTGGTGAAGTAGGGACTACGAACGAAAATATAAATTTGAATGGAGGAAGTGGATGTAGATTCATGGATAGGTAATGAAGAATAATTGTCGGTGGGGGGAATTTTGTGCTTAGTAGTATAATTGGCGGCGAAAGGCGACAATTTGGGAATATTTTCTTCAAAGGAGTATGGTGGTGTCCAACGACGACTATGGAGGATGGGCGTCAGAGGATTGGTTGAGTAAGGATTTCATGGTGGTGGAGAGTTAATTCGGTGGTGAGAGATAGAATTTTCTTCTTGTTTTGATGCACATGGAAAATGAAGCATGTAAAGCATGTCTTTATCAAATAGTGAAAGGGATTTTGGGTGATTGGGGGTTCACGGCCGGGCGGCGGTAGAGTCTGTGCTTGGGAAGAAGAAGAACAGGAGTATTTTTAAATGTTTTCTTTATTTTTCTTAAGTTAACACACGTGTCGTCATCTCATTGGTGCGTGATATACATTTATTTGAAAAGAGTGGTCAAATATAAAAGTAGTGTGTCATAAATACACATATGAAAGGTTTGGATTTGTTAAAATATCCCAGTAATCAACGGGTGTGTAAGAGGAATGTGGATACAAGTTCAGGTGGTATTTTATGTATTCTACCTAAAAATCACAATCATCTTCACATTCACTTGAGCATTAAATTTATAAATAACTTAGATTGGACAATAGTTGCTCATAAATCCTCGTGGGAACGATACTTTCTTATCACTTTATTACTTGTCGACTATGTATACTTGCGTGTGCGTTTAAACCCAACAGTGGATAATTGAAAATGTAATTCGTGATTAAAGTAAAATTCACCAAAAATACTGTGAAGAAAGAATTAGGTTGAACTAGCTTAAACAAGCTGCAAAGAAAGGCATTTGGCATAGCTTAAAACAGTAAACTATAATTCCAAGTGTCAAACTAACAACTCGCTGATCAAATGTTATGCACACCAAAACGAAAATAACTACTGGACAATGACCAAAACTTTGCTTCATATTACAGAAAGAGTGGATACATAGCTGATTAATTTAATGGAAAGGACTAAGGAGGCAGACTAAACTAGCTTTACCAGTCAACTTAACAATTAAAGATTTAAAAGGGATAATGGAAAATGGATTCATCTACCTTAGCATGTACAAAACACACATCATGAGACCACATATGACAATTTCTACTTCTCTACATAGTTTTATTAAGTTATCTTAGGTTTTGCCACATCCTGGACCTCCTAGTGTGAGAACCACTCCTTCAAGTTCACTTCTTTGCTTTGCATCTTCGTCTAGTTGAGATAATCTCATTAGTGATGTTGATCTTCTAACTGGAACCTTCCCTAAGCTCTGTCGTCCGAGTTCTTGAACTTGCATTTGTACCAACTGTTGAGGTTGCCTTCGACAAGCTAGACTTACATGGTTTACGTGTGTGTTTGCGTAGTTGACACCAATATTCTGTCCTCGAGGGGGTGAAGGATTCTGACCAAGGACGGGTCCTCCTCGTGGTAATAGATCCGGTGCCTTGTTTATAAGAAGATCCAAGTGAATGTTGAGTTTAATTACTTTGATAATTTTGGTTAAAGTGAGTGGTATAGTAGGTATGTGAGCTTACCGGAGCAAACAGAACACCTCGAAAAATCTTTCCGTTAACAATGGCTGTCATTAGATAACCAGAATCAAATGCTCCATCGACTTTTCCCCGGATCTCAGCCCCAATCTGAGTAATATATATACAGATATTAGGTTCTTATTTAACACAAAAAAGGGAATACTACAATGAACGGTAAAATGACCAACAAAATATTGCTAACTTGAACGGCGTATATACCAAGTTGTGGAATCGTCCGGCCTCCAAGGATTGGCATTGCACTTCCGGCTTATCCATAAGAACGGCAGATACATGTCCTGAGTTTGACGGAATTAATTGTTCACGAAATAATTGCATATCACGAGGATTCCTTGTTATGACATTCTTCTGGTTTGGCTGGCAATTGTTAGGGGTCAAGTGTTGCTGTCTTGCTAAGAGAAACCGTTGTGATGCAGTTCCAGAACCGGAGCCTGGCTTAACAGAGCTCATTTCTGGATCAGGTTGGGACGGAGGTGAACGCTGAGATAGAGAAGGAGACTGATCTTCCGGCTCCGACTCCAGATTAAATATGTGTGAATTGTTACTCATTCTTCTCCTCTTTGGATGCAATGTGTCTTCCGAAATACATGAAAGTTATTAAGTTAGTCATGCCTAGTTCATTTCTTGAAACTACTTACTACTAACATGACAAAAACATTTCATAACCTACCAGAACTAAAGCGAAAAGCTGCTTTTGACTCAAGCTCTTGAGATCCCGTTGCTACTATATCTTCCTTCTTTCCCCTACAGATAGCATCCTGTTAATCCAATTAAAATGAATCAGATATTTGATCTCAAATAGTTAAACTTCATAAGAAAAGAATCAAGATTTTCGTCTATCTTACCGAGCTATTGTGTATCTCTCTCAGAAACCTTTTCTTATCATAATGACTTGTATTTCTGCCACCAGAAACGCCGCTATTCCCATTAGGATGTTCTACTTCAAACTGCAAGATAAGCAACTCATTGAGCGGCCGCTCATCCTCACCACAACTGCAAGGTTGAGGAAACAAAATTTAAAGATACAAAATCAACTGGAATTAACAGGAAAGAATGGATTAAAACTGGAAAAAGACTCACCCTCCGTAGATTACAATATCTGTGTTCCTGGCAGCAGCGGTATGAGAAAATCGCCCCTGTGGTTTTTGGCCCATTACATCAAGCTGAGTCCAAGAAAAATTTGTCACATCAAGAACCCAAACATCATTGTAGTACTTCTTGTCTCCAACTCCACCAATCACATATACCTGTAAAGCACGGATTTGCAAGATCATTCAGATAATTGCTCAACTAGAATGAAGGTTCAGCACAACAGTTGAAAGTGCGTCTATACGAGCACACAATTATTAGTAAGGAGAAAAAGATAACAAATTTTCACTCCATACTAAAGCAAAGTAACTATTTACAGAAAGACTACAGACAGCATCAGTTACTTGCCTTTGACCCAAAATTCACAGAGGCATGACCCGCTCGAGCACCAGGTGAAGGTCCAAGAACATCCAGCTGGTAAGAAAATGAAGTAACCATCAGCTTACACAATCTTTAGATAATCTTTATCTCAATATCCAGACTGTGAATCAAACATCTATATGAATTAGAAAGGAATAATGAAGACTGAAGCAAGTACCTTTAACCACATTAGTGTATCCATATCAAGCACATCGACATCACCTTGATATCGGTCACCACAATCTCCACCATATATATAGAGCCTATTACCGATTGCAACAGCACTGTGGCTATCCCTGGGAATAGGCATCTCACCCCTCACTTCGGGAGACGTCCACTTCATACTTTTTAGGTCCAAAACATGTAAATCATTCAAATAGTTCCCCTCGCCTTCACCGCTACCACCAAAAATCACTATTTTATCACCACCAACAAGAGTAGCCGTGTGACTTTCACGCGGTGAAGGCGGAATGCCTTGGCATTCAAGTTGAGTCCATTCTTGGCTCCTGATATCCAATATGTGGAGATCATTGACCTTCCTCGAACCATTTGTACCCCCAAACACGACCATCCTGTGGCCAACAAGAACAGCACTGTGGCTATCTCTTGGCCCTGGTCCTTGCCCTGTAGTCACAAGAATGCTCCAAGCCATTGCCTCGAGATTTAGTACAAGTACATCGCTAAAATGTAAACCACCGCGACATCCCTGAAATGGAGAAATATGACTTAATTGAATAAGTTGTAAGATTGTAACGGTGAAATTATGTAATAGACATATTACATTTAGCAGCTAAATTTCTGAGTGTATTTAAAACTGCTAGAACATATCAACCAAATAGCAAATAAAATTGTCTAGACATATGCTGATGAACATATTAACACACCAATTAGCAACCAATTAGCAAATCTCTCAAACAGAGAATATTTTTTTTATCAAACACGTGTCAAACAGGACCAAGACATATTCAGCCTAGTGGAAAGCTGTCTTCTTGATCAGGGCCAGAAGCCGAAGTCCAAACTCTATATATATTAAGAAAATCACTTAAAATATGTAAAAAATGAAATTCAGAACCCCGTTACTAGCATGTTACGTAGCTATCCTAGAATTTAGAACTCATAAAGTTCAAATTCGCCTCTGTTCTTGATAAATCTTAACGGATTAATTTTCACCTACCAAAAGATGTTTTGTTTTGGGCAACATTTAAGTCCCACAACAACTATTCAAGAACAGTGGGGAAAAAAATAAAAATAAAAATAAAATAGCACGATCCTCCTGTTTAATATCTAGACAACAAGAAACATAAGGAAATAAATAAATAAATAAATATATAAATTAAAAAAAAAACATCTTATGAAAAGTTTGACATCCTCCCCAACCAAACAATGAATATTTTGCGTGAAAGATCAATTTTTGTAGTTTTTGAGTTTTTAAAAAGTCCCAAAAACCGAGTTAAGAAACCTTTTTTTTAAAATATCATTAATAAATGACAAACAGTAATGTAAAACTCAACCGAGATGAAAAGGCCTTGTCCATTCTTTTCCTTGAATCGTCTTGAACATCAACAAATTCAAAATACTAGCTACAGAAAAACACTAGTATTTTCTAGGTTAAAAACGAAATATAGAAAGTACAAAAGAGACAAAACTGAAAGCAGAAAATTGAATTATCCTTCATTTTATTTTCCCTTTAATTCCATTCTTTCATTTTCTTGTTTCTTTTCCTGGAAGGAAAAACAAGAAAGGACCATGCATCTATACACCAGTTTAGTTGAGCTGATTTATCAACTTTAGGAAAAAAAAAAAAAAAAAAAAGAGGTATACTATAATATAGTGAAACAAAAAGGACAGTTTTTTAGAAAGAGTAGCAGCTAATAACCAAAAATAACCATACAGTAACATGAAGGAATGAAAGCACGGCACAACTAACTCATAGTTTTTCAATCCACAACATCCTCTCTGCAATGGGAAAATACAGTTCCAGCCAATATTTTTCAAGAAACAAATATAGAAAGAAGAAAAACTTACTATTATCAAACTTACAATAAAAGAACTCATGAAAAAATATTCTCAACTTACCCCAAAAACATAAACAAAGCCATTAGAGTAACAAGAAGAATGACCCCATCTTTCAGAAGGATGAACACCCATCACCTTTGGATATAACCACATTGTCTTCTTATTCTTCAACTGTACTACTTCTCCACCTAAAGATCCCATTTTGTATTTAACTCTCTATCTTTTTCAGTTCAAGAACTTTAAAATATAAAGGAGGAAAGAAAAAAAGATAGTAATAATAAATGAATATTAGTATAAGAAAGGAAAATTAGGGGGGTGGGGGGGGGTAGGTGGTAGCTAGATAGGGGTCAAAGAGGACATGAAGAAGCCAAGTGACATATCAACTATCAATGTCAATATAGACATGATATGATGGGCGCTTTCACGTCTAAATCACTGTGACACCAACACCAACTGGAGACAGACGCCGTGAGTTTGTGACTGAAAACAATATTATTACTCCACTATACTAACTAGTTTTCAGAAATTATATTTTACTATAGAGTACACGCTATTTCAAATTCTATATTCTCTCTTTCAGAAAAATGGAGAAACAATTAGAAAGAAGAGAGAGAGATGAATCTTTTTCTTTGTTGTTTTCCACGTCTATTGCTTATTTGTTGTGTTGTTTACTTGTGGTCTCTTTACTTTTTCACTTGTCTAACTGAAAATGATGAAGTTTGGGAGCCTTGGTTTGTGGGAAGTGATGGCAAGGTCTTTACGTTTATCTTGGTTTAACTATTGTTCGCAAAAGTTTTACTATCACATCCTTTAAAAAGATAATTATAAATACTCGTTCATACAATTATGAAATTCTATCACATAAATTAGACAAGTTACTCACCGTAACATAAAAGGACAGTTTGGTATACTAAGTTATGTATGAAGAAGGATTATTATACTCACTCTTATCCTACATATTCCTAGAAAATACTGTTTTCACGATATTTACCCTGACGTACTAAAATATATTGATGATGTAAGACTTTTTTACCTAACAAGAATACATAAATTAAATCCATTTTAGTTCAGGGCAGCAAAGCTTTAGAGAAAGTGGAGAAAGAGCTTTCTTGTTTTCTCTTCTTTTTTTTTTTCCTTTTATTTGCTTTTATCTTGGTGATGAAGATAATCTTGGGATTGATGGTCGCCATGATTTTTAGGCAAACCCAATTCTCAAGGTAGTTTTTTTTTTATTTTGTGGTTTAGTGATCTAGAGAAATGTCCCTTCTCAAGGTGTTTGTGGCAAACTTAGGGCTTCGTGCTGTGTTAATACTAGTAAAACTGAACTGTGCAAATTCTTTCTTTAGTTTGGGGAAATGGGAATGGTGCTGTTCCCCTCAAAAGTTTCCAAATTTTCTCTACATTTGCATCTTACTCTTCTCTTTTATCGAGAGTAACAAATTCTTAACTTCTCTTCCTGTGAGAGGTGTGTTCTTTACTTCCTCTCCTACAAAATAAGTGATTTTTTTGTTTGTTATTGTTTTCATGCATATTAAAAAATTTATCTTTTAATATTAATTAGTAATAGAATTGATTATATTAACTTTTAGTATTTCTTCATATAAATACTCCTAACACATACTTTAATATTAATTACTCCAAAGGCAATGTAGAAAAAAGATAATTAATTTATTCTTGAAATATGAAAAAATTACTTATTTTGGATCACAAGAAAAAGACCAAAAAATCACTTATTTTGGATCGGAAGGAGTATTTATGAGTGCCATTGTGCCAATTAGGGGTGTACAATGGAAATCGATAAATCCCATCAAATCAATAATTTGCGCCAAACTAATAAAAAAATTGACTATATTTTTATTTGATTTTGTTTGGTGTTGGAAAAAGAAATTCGATCATAATTTATTTGATTTAATTTTAATTTAAAAAATCAACCGAAATCAAATCAACCCGACATTACATATATAGAAGTTTTAAACATATTTAGTATATAAAAATAATTATAGTAGTGTAATTTATAAATATTTTCTTAAACTTTTTCATAGTTTATCTTTTAACGCATTATTTTAAATTTGGACTTATAATTCTTGAATGCTCCAATAAGTTTTATACTACATAAATGTTAGTAACTCAAGTAAAGTCTAAATCGAAATCAAATCAATACTAATGATAACAAAAGATATTCAATGCGATTGTACTAGAAATGACAATAGTGCTTGATATATATATTTTTTTAGCTTTTCCATGGTTTAGATAAACTGCATAACTTTTTTTATAGTATATGGTCATGTAAAAAATATTACTTATTAGTCGTACTTATTTTAGCAACTTAGTAATTTTAGATTATTTTATTTTTACTGTGGCTTATTAATAATATTTTTTATTTGATCTTATAATCATTATTATTGAATATTTTAGTACAATGTAAAATTATTGAATATTTTAGTACAATGTCACGACTCATCTCATATTTTATGTTATTTTCTTGAAAAACACCTTATATAGTTCTGCGTACTTGGATTAGAGAAATATTTGGAGCACAACTTCTATAGTTTGTGCTACGAAGACTTTATGGGGAAAACCCGAAAAATTCGAAAAAAATCAAGATTAAAAAGCTCGGCTTTTATTAGTTTGGTCTTTAGATTTAATAACTCGATACAATTGGTTTGATTTGTTAATTAAAAACTCCGAACCAGCCCAACTTATGTACACTCCTAATGCTAATATAGCATCTGCATCTGACCGCTTGTGCAAATGTGCAAATATATGTGATTAATTTATTAATAAATAAGGAAAATCCAAGCGAATGAGTTTAACAAAAAGATATATCACGTCAATATTTAAGTTTGAGTTAAATATATGAAAATTGTATTCAAGAAATTTATATCAAATAATGATACCGGAATACTTTCAATATTTTAAAATGTTTTAAAATGAAAGATTGTGATTGAACTGCAACCTATTTAAAAGAAATTATATTAAGTTGAAAAGAATAATTACAATTTACAACTGATCAAGTGTAAATCTATTGGCAACACACTATAACGAAACATTGATTAATTAAGCTATTTTTTCGATGCAAAGTGTCTCTGAGATTGTCTTATCAAACGAGGGATTTGAAATATAATTGATGATTAGGCTACTCTTAGCATTTGTTCCAAGTCTTATCAAGTTGAAATTCATCCCCTCTCACTCTCACTCTCCATCAAATTAGTGAACCATCTATCTAGTTACTTCTTCCACAATGATCATTTAGCTATCTTATTTGATTTAGACATTATTACGGAAGTAAAATACTAGTATAATAAAGAAAGTACTAATTATATAGTAAACTTAAAGATGAGCCTTTACGTAACTGGCAAACTTGTTGTCATATGATCAGAAGGTCACGTGTTCGAATCGTGAAAATAATTTCTTGCAAAAATGCAAGGTAAGGCTGTGTACAATTGACGTTGATGGTCCGACCCTTCTCCGATCATGCACATAGCGGAAGCTTAGTGTATTAGGCTGTCATTTATTAAATATATAGTAAACTAATTGATACTCTTGTTCATTCACATTCGGACGAAATATAATGATCGATGTCAAATAACATGGCAATTGGCATAAATACATGATACATTAACACATTATTAATATTACTATAAGGATTATGCTAGTCCACATTCTGTCTTTTCTTATTTTTAATTTGGACCCATCAAATATCACATAATTAAGTTACTCCCCTATGGTTTCTTATACTTATTCATTATTATATGGACTAATCTAGAAAAGACAATTAACAAAGATACATGTACTCATGCCCCGTGTAATACAAATGAAGGATGTTTTTATTACAGGGACCATTTACTAGGAGTTTAATTTATATACTTCATTATTGCAAAGAAATTTTCACACTATCATTTCACCCAAAAGATATCTATACAAGTAAAATCCTTGGTAAAAAGTGAGATTGGTAATCTTGTAAATAAGACAATGCCGATCATTCATTTCGGAAAGAAGCAGAAATGGATATATACTTATATAGTTATATGGCTGCACTATAGGGCTGGAAGTGCACATTATATTCATTCAACCAACGGAAATTTTCTTCTAATTAATTAGTGGATGCTAAAGGAGTTAAATCCATTAAAATTAAAACGATGACATCTTTTTGGGGCTGTTTTGATGAGCTATAGAGAGCAATTAGATAGGTGACTTTTCTGTTTATATAGTTAGCAAGGAAGTAACAAAAATTTAATAAACAGTAAAGCACTGAGATTCCAAACTGTAACTTGAATGTGGTACGTAGGGTTATATATAGGTCGGGTTGGTTCAGATTTTATAATTACCAAACTAAACAAATTGTATCGGGTTATTAAATCTAAAGACCAACCAAACCAATAAAACTCGGGTTTTTCAATCTCGGTTTTTCTTGGGTTTCAAGTTTTTTTCTGGTAAAATATTTCTAGAACAAAACATATAACGTATGCTCGAAATATTTTTTTTAATCCTAGTAAGATACAACTATATAAAGTATTTTTCAAGAAAATAATATAAAATATGAGATGTGTCAAGGCATTATCCTAAAATATTCAACAACAAAAAATAATAAAATTATGTAATATAATTATTGCTAATTAAAAAGTCATAATAAAAATAAACATAATCTAAAAGTATCAAGTCTTGCTAAAATAAATAGACTAATAAGGGAGTATTAATTACATGACTAAATGCTAAAGAAAAATAAAAATAGGTTATGCATTTTTATCTAAACTATTGCAAAACAAAAAAATAGATATTCAATACATTCTCGTTCGTAATATTGAATTGAATGTCTTTTGTTAGCATTAATATTGAATTGATTTTGGTTTGGGCTTTTGTTAGCATTATTTAATTTACTAATATTTGTCACACCTCCTTTTTCCTACACCCCGTAAAGGGTATAAGGGAGTTTTTTTCCAACTTAAAGTGACAATCGAAACGGGGTTATTTTACTAAAAATTCAGAGTTGCCACTTGTGATAATTTTATGGTGTCCCAAGTCACCGGTTCGAATCCTGAATCGAGGCAAAGATTGACTCTGTATTACAGTCCGCGAACACAGAAATCCGGGTAAGGAATTTTGTTAACCCGGGAGAAGGTATTAGGCATTCCTGAGTTCTGTAGTTCTAGCACGGCCATTCAACTGTTATTATTGGCTTATTATCTGATTTTAATACATGTTTTAGCCTATGGTATATTTTAACTTATAACCGCTTTTATTTATTTTTAAGGAAAAATTGCAACGTCATTTAAAATACGTCTTGAACCACGTCACATAAATGCACCCGCAGCTCTCGACGTATTCTATCTAACATTGTTGAGATTTCAATTTGGGTCACATAAATGCGCACCCAAGTTTAGGAAGGTAATTATTAAAATAACGTGCCTAAAGCAACTATGCATTTTTAACTTTGCGAGGGCCATGAAAATTCAACTAAATGGCACGCCTCGATTTCTAAGGATTAAACATTTAAAGGTGGGCCATGCATTTTAGATTGTATTTGGCACGGCGCGCCTCAAGTCTAGATTCGAAAAGAAGGCTGATTTAATTAACTAGAAGACCTAAAGAAATTCGCATCTTTTATACTGAAGCTAAGGTTCATTGAGCTTAATACTTAGTGGTTGATATTAAAAACTGAT